GTGAAGGGTAAATCCCTATAAAAAAAAAAAAAAAAAAGAGAGAGAGAGACCATTTTATGTGGCTTGTAGCAAATACAATACATGCTTCTCTAACAGCTAGGGCATATAAATCTCTACAAAACAAAACTGACTGACTGAAAAACAACAACAGCCTTAACATGTAGCATGTGCCTTACTGATATTACAGCTGCTGGTTATGCCTAAAATGCATTTTAAATTTGCACTTACTTGATTGAAATTGTATAAATCTAACTATGAAAGTAGAAACTATTAAGTACTTTTTCTATGAAACCTGTATAACTAGAACCATGCCATGATTTAACAATAGGAAACATGAAATATTCAAATTATGTTTCACAGTACACACAAAAGCTCCAGACATTAGCTTATATAAAAAAAAATGTATAAATCTAAAAAAGACAAAAGAACATCTACAAAGCAGCTTAAAGCAAATTTCTATACACCCTTTAATAAAGTCCCAAAGTGCTTTAATAAGAAAACAAACTTGGTCTAAAGAATGATGCTTGACTAGTTGCTTTAAAAGAAACCATGAATGAAAATTTGGAGTTTAACCAAATCTGGCTTTACTTAAAGAGGAACACTGAACACTATTTATTCCTCAGCGCAGGGAGCTTCTTAACACTGTAGCACTTTCTGGTACCAAGACATAAATCGGGAACCCATTTCATACACGTCAGTTGTGAAAGCTCTATGCTCTGTGAAATGATGTGTGAAATAAAAATTGAAAAAAAAAAATCTGGGCTTCCAGACTAATTATGGAAACACAAAAATATATTTCTACTATCAGTCAAACTCAGGTACTTCGATAACTAGCTTCTTGATTTAGATTTAGATGTATTCCTCTTTAATTAAAGAAGAAACTACTTTTGAGTTTTGCCCATTTTATGTTTAACATCACCAAACTAGCTTGTGAGAGCTCAACAGTTCAATTACACAGTGATTTCTTTTTCATGCATTTGAGGATATGGCACTGGTTACTGTGGTAAATTACAGCAATTGCTTTGTAATTCAATTGACTTTTTATAGTCCCCAGTAAAAGATTCTTCAGCTACACGGCAGCTCCCACTGACATCACACTGAAAGCTAATCTCTCTCAGAATGACTGGAAAAAATAATACTACAAAAGTCTTATAGAAGGTTTCTTTTTTAAAATTCTGATATATCCATTTGTGGTTAAGATAGTTTATTAAAGTTACAGCGAGATACATTTTCTTTCTTTTCATACAAGAATCTGTGATGTAACAGATATACTAAAAGGTTTTACTAGTTTTATGCACATTTGCACAGTATGTTCTGAAAAGCTGGGGTCGAAATGCCTTTAAATTTGCCCGAGTAAGACGCGTATAACTGCAGTAAGTTAACATGCGACCTCAGAAGAATACAGATTTTTCCCAGGTGCAGTGTGCATTACCCATTCACTGTGTATTAAGCTTTTAACCAAGTGTACTGATCCTGTTTGCAATATTTTTAAACTGGTAGTTTTGCATTTACCGTAAGAGAAAAAGCTCAGGTTGACATTGCATTTGGTTTGGGAAAGTGCAACTATATTATCTGTATAACCAAAAAGTATTCATAACAAAGTGTAAATCAAATGTGGGTATATGGGCACATATGTTATGTCCATTAGAAGCTTGACTGAATCTTTGAGAAAGGTTATCACAAGGTAATTTAATATTCAAATCTGAATGCATGCTTTTCACACAAAAAGCTACCTGGTTCATCGAGGTAATGTTCATATAAAATGAGCAAAAGCTATAATGATTGAATCTCCTGTACATAATCTGATTTATAATACTATTTGTTTTGTCAGTCAAACATCATTTTATTCTAAGTTATTTCAATCACTCTATGAAACAGACATCACTTTTTAGAAAATGTAATATCTGTTAGTAGTTTTTCAAAGGGCAAATCCTGTAAATAGTACCTTGAGTAATTAACTGTACATCACCACTTCAGTATTTTTGTTCTACAGTAAGGACATTCTGATTTACTAGGCGCACAGTTCTCACATAGTACGTAATGTTGGCAAGGCTGCAGAACAATGCACCGATCATTCTTTTGGCAAACTATACATTTCTTTGACTGAAGCTGATATATTACCTGTTGGGGAAGAAAAAAATGGATATCAGCTGCTGCTTCGGGAAATACACTTCATGCAGACGTTTCAAAAAAAGCATGCTTGATGACAAAATGCTGATCTAAATGAAGAACCATTTTAACAACTATGTAGATGCTACAAATGAAATGCTGTGCGTGATCTACTCTTTCTTACCCCATCTATAAGGTCTAGGTCATTACGCAGCTGACTCTGGATGGAATGAAGCTTTGACAAAGGGAGCTGGTCCAGCTCTCCGTAGCTACGTAGAAGAGGTGTTCCAGGGGTGCGACAAAGCACGTCAAAGTCCCCTTGTAGCTCTTTCAGCTTGCGCTCCGTTTCTTCCCATTTCTGTTCTGCCAGCTGCCGCTCTGCCTCGGCTGTTTTTGCTTGTTCCTTTGCTTCGTGAGCGTCTTTCTGGCAAGCCTCACAGGCCTGGAACAAAGTGGAGTCTTGTGATTTAAAAGAGCTCGCTATGAAACAAGAAATCATTGTGGTACACTAACACGTAATGTAGCAATAAGAGGTTGTTTTCTTTTTATAACACTGACTTGTTTGACCTGATGCCAGGCCTCTTCCCATTGCTTGAGCTTCCTCTTGGCCTCATCCAGCTCTCTAAAAAGGCGGGCCAGATCAGCGCTGCTGGCTGTAGATGTTAGGCTGCTGAAAACTGGAGACGGACTTGGTGAAAAGCTGCCACTTACAAAGTCCCAAATGTTACTAGCGCCTCCATTCAAACCTAGATGAGGGATGTGTTAAAACCAAAACCAAGCACAAAAGTGAAATGTTAGTCATGGCTGCGTGTGGAACAGGAAAATGTTTCACTTTGAACTGTTTGATCATCAATCAAAAATTGGTGGTTGTTAAAACTGATTTGCCTTTGGAAAAACAGAGAACTGTGTCCTCAGTTTTCTTTGTTTCAGTAAGTGTTCAATACTTGAATATACTAAACATAAGAATATCACTGATCAGAGCTGTGGTGTAGTAAGTCTAGAAAAGTCTTAAGGTGTTTTTATCGACTTTGAGCTTTCTGGCTCCCTTGGAGCAAAATGCCTAATGCCATCAGCTTACCCAAAGAGTTCTGGGAAGAGGATGTAGGTGTTCCTAGGAGGCCATGCTCTTGCTTGGCTAACATGTTTGAAGGTTGATTTTGCTGCGATACGGCCCCAGACAACAGGGACTGCGACAGGGACTGGGAGAGGGAGCTGAGCGGGGAGGTGGAGAGTGATGACGAGGAATTAAAAGAGGATGACCGTGCTAGGGAGCCAGGAATGTTAACAGGAGCAGATCCACCTAGCACCCTTTGACCTGAGGGGACAAAGAAAATGCTTTTGATGCTTTTAAAAATTATTTCACAAGCAAAATATGACAAGATCATTCATGACCAAACACCGCAGAGCACTTTTAGAAACTTGGTCCTTACTTGCCAGTCCTACACTGTTGTCTTGCTCCTCTAACTCCTTATCAAGGGATGCAACATTAATGTCACTAAAGTTGAGGTCTAGAGCAGATCCTGGGGGACAAAACAACAAAATACATCTGACTGGCATTACCAACAAAACACAGCCCGATCAGTTTGCTTGTTGGTTTTACATGCACTCACCTATGACAGACTCCACTGTGTTGCTCCCTGGATAGAAAGGAGTGGCTTTTGCATTCATTGTTGATAAGGTGGTGGGTGAAGAACTATCTGAGCCAATACTGGAGGCCAAGCTGGATGTTATACTGGAGGTAAAGCTTGAGGCCAAAGGGTTCACTGCTGAGAATACAGTATTTTGTGTCTAAGAGGGAAACACATAAATATGTGTTAATTACAGTTTAGGTTTTCCTTAAAAAAACAAAAACAAAAACAAAAAAACACTTGTAATATAATGAAGCATTCATCAAAAAGCAACCCACTGAAACACAAACCTGTTTTTCTTGGTCCATCAATTTTTGATCCACCGGCCCCTTGTTCTTAATCTATAAACGACCAAATAACAGAGACGGCACATTTCAGTGTAAAATCTCCAAATTTTACATCCACACAGTTATCAATTAAAGGCAGTTTTGCATGGAAATGTTCAAATATAAGTGTCTATTTCAACAAAGACTATTTGCCCTTAACTACTACACACTTTTCCTCAGAGTTAACTGATAATAAATACTGGCCAATCTCCAGTAGTGATGATTTATGTGGTAACTGACTACTGAACTGCAGCCAATCAGCACTGGAGGTATTTAAACTGATCATGTGACTCAGCTCAGCCTGCCACTTTTTGTTAGAAATAATTCATACATACTGCCATTGATTTCGGTACATCCTGAATGATAAGGACAGACGCACTTTACTGCGAGCTAGTGGCACCATTTTGTAATTACAGCAGAAAGTGGTGAAATAAACCTAAGGGGAATTCTAAGTGTGGAGTTACAAATAACCCTGGTTGTGTGCAGAGTGTGAAAACATTTTTAGGCTTTTCGTAAGAATGGGCTTCTTATATATAGAAAAAAACTGATTATAAATGTATTAGAAGTATATTGAAAAAAGTTAAACACCTCAGGTATAAACTACTTATTATTTTATAGATTGCATATTTTAAGTGTTTATCACTTTACCACCTCAATCATCACATCAGCATTGATGATTCAATGCTGATGTGATGATGCTCTATGCAGTGTTACAAATACTAGCATACAATGAAGTGTTTAAGAAACATCCAACACATCAAATGACCTAAGAACTAGGACCTAAAACATGCAATTTAAGTCAAAATGGCACAAAGTGATCAAATAAAAAAGGCATGGCAGATAATGAATGAGAAATAAACAAAACAGTGACTTAAAAAGAATGACAATGATACAGTCAGTGCCAAGCCCTATGTTATCTGTGTGTTGCATTCTTCCTGAAGCTAAAGAGAGCAGTCTGTGTACCTGGTCCTCACGTTCAAAGCCCGGAGCTTTGGGATAGTTAGACGTCAGAGATGAGACACTGGATGTGGACTCTGAACATAAACTACTATTAGTTAAGGATTTGGGCCTGCTGATCGATCCCACTGGGGATAACAAACTGTCGCTTCCTGAGCTTGGCGTTACAGTTGAGCTATTAGAACATGAAACCTGAGAAAGAGATTGCACATGATCTTAATAAAGGGATGAAGAAAAAACAAAATAAAGCAATTATTCTGAAATAGAAGGTGATGACTCTCTTAAATCTCTTAGTTTGAGCCACACTTTTTTACTGATTAATCCACTTAAATGTCACTCTGAATGAGAAACTGCCTGTTATTTCGAAACCATGCAGTGACAAAATGTAAAACAGTTTAAAAAGGAAATATAGTAACGATGAAAAATAAATGTACAAAACATGCCAACAGAAAAATGATAGAGTAAACATGTTGACAGGTGAGTGGCTGGTTTGTATCAGCTGGTTACAAAAGCTGATATTTCCATAAAACTGAAATAATGTGTCTACTTCTCCACACCAGCAGCCACATTCTGATCAGTTTCCTATTGAAGGACCGATGTCAACAACAGAGATAACATACACTTCCTACTTGTCCGTTGCTACTGGTTGCACTGGTGGTGGAGTTTCCTCCACTGTTCCACTCACTGACCGGACACTCTGAATACTGCTGAGAGTCCAGTTGAGACTGCGAACTTGACTGTATTGCTGTTAGCAAAGAGCTCATGGTCTCTTCTGTAGAGGGAATTCCTGTAAGCATTTTAAAAGGATGAATATCAAACTATATATACAGCAGACTGTAACAAACCAGACTACTAACAGCCTCTGTCCAGTAACATCAATGCTCTATACAGCTGTGATGAATTCAGAGACTCCAAACAATAAAAAAATAATTATTACTCAAGTGAGCATATACATTTTACAAGACAAACACCACTTCTAATCAAATGCAAGTCTTGGCATAAAACTCAGCATTCTGCTGGATTGAAGAACAATTCTAAATAACAGATGTCCTATCAGGTGTAATAAACAAAGCAGAGCTAGCGGAGTAGCTCACATCATTTCACTACCTAGCTTAAGGAGCAGTATATGAAAGAGTAGTTCGTGCTGACAAACGTTCACTTACGTTCTACATGTGCAAATGCACAAAACGGGCCTCTGGGACAGTATCCAGTTTGTCGCATGTCATTGCATTTGGTAGATTTGTAGATCTTGGGGAATGAAAAACAAATCACAAGTTACTGAGATACACAGTTAAAGCTTAAGACTGGTCATTTTTTATATTAGCAGTATTTTTAACACTCCGGTTACAGCGACTAAAACAAACGATGAAATGTCTTTACTAAATACTGACAACAAGGGGGTGAATATTTATGCAGTCACTTATTTCCCATTATATATTTTTATTTAACTGACATTACTTTATAGAAACCTGTTTTCACTTCAACATTAAAGAGGGTTTTTTGTTTTTTCTCAAAAAAACAAAATTATATGGACCATGATTGATTTAGGCAGCACGGTGGCGCAGTGGTTAGCACTGTTGCCTCACAGCGAGAAGGTTCTGGGTTCGGGCCCCACCCGGGACCTTTCTGTGTGGAGTTTGCATGTTCTCCCCGTGCTTGCGTGGGTTCTCTCTGAGTACTCCGGCTTCCTCCCACAGTCCAAAGACATGCAGCTTAGGTTGATTGGTGTCTCTAAATTGCCCATAGGAGTGTGTGTGTGTGTGTGTGGTTGTTCGTCTCTGTGTTAGCCCTGCGATGGAATGGCGACCTGTCCAGGGTGTACCCTGCCTTCGCCTGATTGCCGGCTGGGATTGGGTCCAGCCCCCCTGTGACCCCGTTCAGGGACTAAGCGGTATAAAATGAATGAATGATTGATTTATAAAATCAAGAAAATGGTAAAACATCCATATAACAAACATAGTGAATACTTTTACAGGCACTATATTATCCCTCCTGCTGCTGCACTGTGACCAGAGGATGTGGAGAAAAATACAGGGCCTAAGGTTACTGCATGTCTGGGAATGTTCTTTTACAAAGAGTTGCTGTTTTACCTGACCGGGTCTAACCTACAAGCAGCCGGCCAGTGAAGCCTCCACGGTGGTGAATGATCAACTCATTAACACTGGATTCCCCCAGAGCACAGTACCTGTTTGTCCTGACTACTTGAGGCCAGTATGTCTGCTACATGTGATGTGATACGGATTAATGATCCATGATGTTATTGTTGGTGCTACGCTACTACTTTGGGGACTGTATGTGGTCGTGTGGAGGAGGATCCAACGATCACCAGTTGGACATAGTGACCTTGGAGCTACATGAAAGGAAGTGAACTTGAAAGGAAGGAACTTTCGGGCTTTATCGCTCTGAAATAATTAGACTATTTGCACTTATGATGGGTGCAAAGCTAATCCAGAGGTATCCAAGATTAAACATTAAATGGCTGGAAATGAGCATCCCATGGGCACTTTAACAGCCAAAACAATAAAACCTAAAACTGTATTTTAATTGTAGCAATGGTGAAGAACAACACGACTCCTCCCCGTATTCATCTTAGGGAAAACAAAATTCACTCACCTCTGGGTGAAACTGCTGTTCAGTACGAGAGTGACAATATTGGCAACCGTCTCCACTGTCACACTTGGAGGGCTCACCCCATTCATCCCCATGTTTCACATTTGGGCAGGGAGTTGACCTGCAGTGTTATTCACAGGGTCAGAACCACTAATGCATTGCATTTACACAACTTAACACCATTTGTTATTTTAACTTCAGCTGAGCCACTTCTTACCTATATTTGAACTTTCGAGGATTTCGCCTTCGATCTCTACTGTTGTGGTAGTGGGGGCAAGCATAGCCTTGTCTGCATAGTCTTGGGGGCTTAGTACACTGATCTGTTTTATAATTAGCTAAGACAAAATTGGTATCTGCCAAAAAAAAAAAAAAAAAAAAAACCCAAAAAGGGTTTTTTTTTTTCTTTCAAGCCTTGTCTGCATAGTCTTGGGGGCTTAGTACACTGATCTGTTTTATAATTAGCTAAGACAAAATTGGAAACTGCCAAAAAAAAAAAAAAAAAAAAAAAAAAAAACCCACAAAGTGCTGTTATTTTTCCTTTCATTCTGCAGAAAATAACAAGGCAGCGAAGGAGAACTTCACCACTGAGGAGTAGGCTTCTCACCTTGCCACCAGGGATCCTCTGTCAGTGTTTTCTCAATCATAGCTTGGCTGGCTAATACACCAGGCTGCAAATCAGGAATACCTTCCCCAGATCCCAACTGTCCATTCTGCAGGGCCTCTTGTGCTTGGATCTCTCTGTGCACAAAAAAATCAGTTATTTTTATTACTTGGACTTTGGCTGCTTGTTGTCTAAAACAGTTACATTTAATGTAAAGGACAATTTTTTGACTGGCCTCTCAAATAAGTGTGGACCCTAAATATCTAATATAATACCATGTGATAAACACTGTCTTAACATTAATAGTAGCATGATGACATAACTCATACTTGCTATACATCATGAAATATCAAAATACACAAATACAAAAAAGCTGCTGAATGAAAATTAGACAATATAACAATGTTTATCAGTTTAACTCCTGAATTTTCACTGCAGGAAATGCTTTTTTTTAAGTCTAGGTATCAGCTAACCTCACTCAGATTTTCTCAATAGCACAGAGCTGAATGAATCATATTTATCTAGTATCATATGTCTGTAATTTTCTTAGAAATGCAATGAGCCAAGGACAAATATCAGCAGTACAAACCAAGCACAGTCTCATGACCCATTAAACCACTATAATACAGGTATTGTTTATTTTATGTATAATTAGGTTGATTTGTTCATTATATTCTGAGGCTTGCGAGTGGAAAGTCTGGCAGGGGCACTATTTGCTTTGTATGTCACCTGATATCATAGACTGGAGGTCGGAGGTCATGTGGCCCATGAGCAAAAGCACAGTGGAGGCCATTCTTCACACAATGCCCTCGAGCATCTGTCTCATGGATACAGGTGCCAGTTTTGTAATAGCGTAGATGGTACTTGCGTTCTGTGTCACCAGTGGTCCGGTGTAAATAAGGACAGCTAAGGAAATGAAGACACAATGATAAAATAGCTCATCAGTTAAAATGCCTCGCCATGACATCAAAAATAATGCACAAAATGTGCTGCCCCAACCAAAGATCTGTCCAAAATAACATGACATATAGCACATAGCTTTCGGAAGATTACTGTAGAGTAAAACTGTAAAATGTCTATGCAGGCAGTCTGTTTCATATGCTATCATTAAAAGCATGAAATGGAAAAACACTGTACTGGCATTTAAAAACACTGTTCCAAGAAACGTTATAAAACCAAGTGAAAATTGCAATAAGGGGAACTAGTTACTCTAGTTGCACACATTTTAATCAGGAATAATATCCTATTGTGAATGCAGGGCTGAAACACCAGAAATGTAGGGCCAATAAGCCTTGTGAATAAACCATTTTTTCCCTTTCTTGAGTAGCAACAGTTGCTATAGCAACACACAAGGTCATACAAAAATAGCTTTGACTGTTAGAGTTGTAAAGATTGCAACTGTTCATTTTTACATGAATTCAATTATTATATTTTTACTATACGTGGGGCTCAAATAATTTCTTAGTCACACAGAGAAGGTGCTGTCTTTATATACTACATGCTGCAAATTAAAGGGCCACTGCCACACCTTTTGAGAACTTCTAGTTTCTGTGCCACCTCACAGTTTAGACAGCACTTCTAAAGTCCCACCACGCTTGTCGCTAAAAGCGTTTAGCCTGTGGTGATAGAGCACAAAATATGTTATGCACCAAACTTCGGAGGCTATGTGGTTACACAAAAGAAAAGCACAACTAAATCTATCTTTCTGTAAACAGGACACCATTAAGATCTGGCATTTTTGAAAATGTGAAGTGAGGAATTAAGCTATTTGTGCATCCCATGTTGCTGTTATCTGAAAATAACAGTAGCATAGGTGAACAGAGCCAAACTATCAAGTATCTCAAAGACAAAGACGTGCAGTTATGTTCAATCAGAAATGGTAAAGTTAGTACATACTACAGAGAATGTAATGTGCTATCAACATGTGCTGCAACATCACACTTCACACCGAGGAACAAAGTCATAAACACTGCTCACCGAGCAGCTACTAATCTAATCCCAATTCCCATGTAAATAAATTCCAAAGTAACATCATGTACTCCTCACTTGTACAAAGAATAAACACAGCAACTTTAGAGCAATCACATTTTAACTGCTACTACAAAAAATAGGCTTTTATAACCAAACTGGCATTTTCTAATCTCTGTCCAGTTAAACTGATGTGCATATATACCACTGAACACAGAGCTTGCTTTTCCTACACATTTATGTTACTGTTGCACAGAAAAAGATGAAATTAAGACAGTCCCTGGCGAACTTTGCTACAGAGCAGCTGGCAACATAGCAGGTTTCTTGGGTCTCTATAAACATTACACAATGAAAAAGTGCTACAGTTTCTTCTTATTGTTTCAGTTACGCAAAACTCCCTGCAGACAGTTCCTACCAATAAAAACAAACCAGAGCCCGGCGTCATTTAAGGCTTACACTGGGACACGTCCCGATGGCCTGTAATAAATATTTCAGTAGCATTGTGATTTGTTTCATAAAACTGCAGCGGCCCCGTCTCAAACATATCAGTAAAACATGCGTCATCTGCATCATGGGGTGTTCATGGAGCTGGACAGTCACTGAAACTGACACTTACTCATCCCCATCTGGGCAAATGCCTGTGGTCTCGTCGTATTTCGTGCAGTACACGTCGGGGCTGTAGTTAAAAGTTCCGTCTCTTCTTCTAATGGGTCTTCTTCGCCGCTGGTTGAGAAAATGCCAATGAAAGCACGTAAAGGGTCTGTGCTGCGTACACTTGTGCTGGAGGAACAACGGGCACTGCTCTGTCCTGAACTCCTTCAAGTATCTGAAACAACGAGAAAACAAAAACACACAAAGGTGCCGTCGGGAACCGGATTTTAATATCACTATTAACTAAAAGATCAGTCGAGAGCAAAGAAAAGGTCCTGAGACCGCGATGCTGTGTTATGCTGCTAGTGCTGTAAGCTACTCTATATTTTGGGTCACTAGCATTAGCTTGCTATTCACGAAGCAAACTACGCACGTATTCCTACGTAACACTTGTTAAAAGTCCCTGAGCGTACGTCTACAAATGTGCGTAGCAAGAGGGAACTCAAAATAAGGCCAAGCTATTTACAAGCAGACTGGTTAGCGAGTTCCTGGCTAGTCATTTAGCAAACCAAGCTGACGATATAATATTCAACAGACAATTCAAAACAATTCCTCAACTCCGTAAAACAGCTGTAAACGACTACGTTAACGACTGGCTAGTCAATTAAGCGATTTAAGATGTTCGTTTATTATATTATGGCTGATGTTGCTAGCGTGGAGTCGTTGGTGGCTATGTAACGTTAGTCACAAAGCCAGGAAAAGCTCCATGTTTTAACGCACATACAAGAATTGAGGAATGCAAGAAATGCACGCGCGCAAATGTGCACGTGAAAATAGCATATTCGACTACGAGCAATTTTCTCGTTTCTTTGCAGCAGCTTTACTCACGTATAGTGGGTAGGTTTCTCCGTTTGAGGAGACGCATTGGCCGCCGTTTTCGAAACCGACGGCATTTTCAGTCAAAACAATGAATTGCGCATGCGCTCGGATCTTTTGCTCGCGAGCATGCACGTCCGCCCGAACGCGCTGCAAACTGCACACACTGATGGGGGGGGGGGGGCTTTGAAAAAAAACCGACAAAATTCATAAAAAGCCTTAAAATATAATTTTTATTATTTATTAAATCTTCAGATTCTTTTGTCTAAATGTTTCAAAGTCCACAGTGCCAAGAAGAAATATTTAATTACATTTTTTTACATTACATATTAACATCATTTTTTTAAAGTTTTTGCCTAAAATAGTCATAAAATTAAGAATGTCAATGGTTATTATAAAAATAATGGCACCATTGTAAAATTTTCAGAATTTCTTTTACTAATTTAGAATAATTTCATGACATTCTTATTTATAAAACAACGCAGTGCATGCGATATTTTCCCAGATTGCAACTCACAACTGTTCATAAATTACAGTAAAGGATTCACAACCAGATGAGCAATAACTGTTAATTTTATAAGTCTAGGAGGCAGAACAACCCATCTTTTTCAATAGTTTTCCATATACACCTATACATCTACGTACAGTCCATGCCACCACATATGAAGTCATAAACAATGCATAAGCCTACACACATAGTGTAGACATGTGTCTGTTTTATCAGTTCTGTTCCCTTATCCACTCATTTGTTTAGCTGTTTAACCTGAATGTTAACATATTTACAGTTAGACACCTTATAAGCATTTCATGTCTTGTATTGTTTCATTTCTGCATTTAGCTGTTGGTAAATATAAACTAACAAATATATCAAGCCTATTTTTATTCCAGCATTACATTATCAATCACCTCAGGCTAATGTCATTTTGCAAAATTGTTTAAGATTTCATGTTAATCAAGTTTCTGTTTTCAAACTGCCTTATTATACAGTTTACTGGTAATAAACAATTTGATGGGTTCTGCCTCATCATCACAGAGACATGTCAATCTCCAGTCTCCTTTCTTTACTTCAGCATCTGAGAAGATAATCAGTTCAATTCAGCTCTTTTTTCCTTTGGGCTTTTAATTTACAAATGCAATTATATGTCAAATCCATTATTCAGCTGCTGAAGTTCATTGAGTTCACAGCCTTGCAGTTATGCATACAGCCTGGTCTATCCTGCTGTAATTAGTCTGACATTAGTTTACAGCTGGACAATGTCTAGGATATCTACTGACATAAGAAAACTTTTAAAGGTGACCACCTTTATGTGTAATGTTATGTTTCTTTGTTGTCTGCATATTTTAGATTGTTTAAGCTCAGGTTGTCATAAATTTCATGAATTGGAATCCACACTTTTGTTTTGTAGACAGCCTCAACTCTCTGATCATGAGATGTTTCATTATCATGTTGTACTACAGGACTTTTTTGTTGTTGTTTTTGCACCCAATAAAATGGTTACTTTTGGTGTATTTGCACTTTAATGTCATTGAGCATCACTGCAAGGATAATGTGTACAATGAAGACAATGTTCCCTTATTTCTGCAAAAGTGTTATATTTTTTGTGATTTTGCCAGCAACCTTTCTATTCAATTTAGTCCGGAAAAAGCTCCATGATTTGTCTCTTCGTTGATGTATCGTTGTCATTTGCCAGATTGAACATGTTCATCTTCCTCTTTAGGAATGACCAGATCAATATCATACACTAATAACAAAGATATTGTATCCTGGCCTTTTATGAGATTATTTTTTGCTCACAAAATCATTATCTAATCTGGCATCATCTAGATAAAGTTTTGTGGATGCACACAAGGGGAAAAGCTTTTTCTTTGCCTTTTTCCTTCTGTGACGTCAGCCATCACAAACCTTTAACCTTACTCAGTAGTCTCAGCTGTACACACAGTCCACTGTGTGCCACTTCTCACAGTGCCTCACATATTTATATGCATCTAGATGCATGTGTGATGTAAAGATGACCCTTTGCCTTTGCCCCAGGTTTGAACCTTGGAGGGTCTTGTTTGCTTATATCGATTAACCTAACAGCCCTCACTACATTATTACCTACCTTTCTTCCTGTCTTTATTCCCTCTGTGAACCAGGTTCTGTTCTCATATCTAAATCCATATATAAAATACAAACATATAAGCTATACTTAAACCTGTTTTTATGAAGGTTAATGCCTTAAAAGACAAAACTGTGAAAAGTAAAACCTGCTGAATGATTTTTTGCATAAAAATATGGGACAAAGTTGTGTCAGGGAAAACAATTTTTAGTAACATGTACAACGAGTTTTGCATTTTTGCAGACCTTTAACAAACAGTTAGTCAAACACTCCTCAGCACCGCTTTCCCAGGCTGCTGGAACTATTACAGCTGGAATAACAGTTTGTGGTCTGGACTCCTAGCTTTCCCAGTCACGCTATTATCTCACACTGTTTGATGTAAAAACACAGGCCCACCACAGACTGGCAGCACACAGATTTTATATACTGGTGAACAGACTTCATCCCAGGTGTGATAAAGTTTACTGTATTCTTTTAGTCCATACTAAACAATACATCCACCTTTCAGAACCTGTTCTACACGATACTGCATGGTTTTTGTTTTTGCAAAAGTATAAATAACAAATTGAACATTCTTCTAACTACTGTATGTTATATTTCATTGTAGAGAGATAACTGCAAGCTTCAATGAATTTAAGAAAACTGCAGTATTACAGAAAAATAATTTTTAATGTTGCTGTGCTCTGATATGATCAGACAGACAGATTTCATCAAACCACTACCATGAAGCCTCTGGTGAGTAACAATTCACCATTTTTATACAGCACCTGTGCAGCCCGGCAATTACATCACATTAACCTGTCGACAATATATTAAAGAGCATCTTTGGTTTGTCAAAAACATACTCAGTGATATAGATACATCCACTGTTGGTCTTTAGGATCACAATGAGTCTGGTATCAAAATGTGTCTCATGTCCATTTTCCTCCGCTTATCCAGGACCGGGTCGCGGGGGCAGCAGTCTAATCAAAGATGCCCAGACTTCCCTCTCTCCAGACACTTCCTCCAGCTCCTCCGGGGGAATGCTGAGGCGTTCCCAGGCCAGCCGAGAGAGATAG